AGTTCTCTATTTATGCTGTTGGCAACAACCCTCAGGTGGGCCTTCTTCACCCAGAACCATGCTGATTAAGTTCAGCTGTGTTACAAGTTGACCATTAGTTAATCTACCACAGGATTGAAACCCAGGCCTTTGCACTCACTGATATATACCCTTAAGCATTTTTCCGTTTTGCAAAAGGGTCTTCCCTAAATGTTATCAATAAGTTTCCTGAGCTAGACTTGAACTTATGATCTTTTTGCCGCACTTTCTTGGAGTGCTGGGATTGTAAATGTGTGCCACTATGTGAGTGACCTGTTTTTTTTTTTTTTTTTTTTTAGGGATTTTCTGTTGCATTAATTTCTGCTCTTATACTGTCTTGCTTCTTGCATTTTGAGTTTGATTGCTTTTTTCTAGTATCCTGAAATATAAACTAAGTACATTTTAAAATCTCCTTTACTAATAGATTCATGTAAAACTATTCCTTCTAAAAACTGCTTTAGCTACATCCTACTGTAGAGAGCCGAGTGACAGCCCATTGGTGCCTCCCTGCCTCTCTCTCCTATGGGCACTGCGTCTGCCTACATTAACCATAATCCTCTCCTGCTCACATTACGTATCCTGATGTGATGGTGACCCTGTTGTATTCATCCCCTTAACCTCTTCCTGTCCGACCTCCCGCCCTTGCCCTATAAAAGATGTGATCACTTCCTGAATAAATGAAGGCTTGATCGGATTATTTCAACTTGCTTTCATCTCTCTTTGTCTTCCCTATGTCTTTTATTTAATCCCCGTTCCCCCTCCAGGAATTTCCCACGGATTGATCTGCAGGCCGGATCATCCTACAAGTTTGCTATTTCATCTTTTCATATCATTCAATTAAAAACATTTTGTATCTTCCATTGTGATTTCCTCTTCAACTCACTGGTCTCCAGTGATGTCTGCCTTTTTAATTCCTGCAATTGGTGATCTGTATTTCTCCTTTTTCATTATTGATCGGCATAGGTTACACATATTTACTGGATATTGCCAATCCTTGGAAATCTGTTTAAATTCCCTTTATGGCCTATGTATGATTAGGTTTTTTTTTTGGTCTTTTTTTTTTTTTTTTTTTTGAGACAGAGTCTCGCTGTGTAGTTCAGGCTGGCCTTGAGCTCACTTTGTAGCCTAGGCTGATCTTGAACTCGAAACAATCCTCCTGCCTCAGTCTCCTGAGTGCTGGGATTACAGGCATGAGCCACCAAGCGCGGCTAGTTTTTATTTTTAATTATACTTGAGTTCATAATTAGGAAGAGAGAAGAGTCATTAAATTAAATCAAATATGACATACTCTGGAAAATGTAGAGTATATTCTCATTCTTCTTATTCAGGACATTATTTTTCTAGTATTATTTCTTCTCATATCTCTAGAAATAAAAATAAATTGGATGTTACTAGCACCCACTCAGCCTTCAATAACATAGTATATTGAATTTTAATATATCCACACTAGAGATGGGTATTTTTTCTATGAATTTCCATAGCACCTTGGATATATCTTTATCATCAAACTTATCACATAATAAAATTGTTTGTATCCATCTGTAACTACAAGTCCTTCAAAGACAGCTAACTTACAAGTCCTTCAAAGACAGGAACTGTCATCTATTTCTTTATCCACTGTACCTGGGGCCTAAAGAATACCCAAATTGCAGAAACTAAATCAAACTTCAAGCTGGATGCTGGCTTTTGGCTCCTACTCTGCTGCTTATGCATCCTAGGCATTCTGCCTTATGCATCCTAGGCAAATGCTCAACTACTCAGCTGTATCAAGCACTCCTGGTCCATACTTCAGACCATGAATATCATTTTTTAAAGTAAAATCCTAATTATGTCTCCCATCTACTTAGAAAAGTAGTTTATAGGGGCTGGGGATTTAGCTCAGCGGCGTAAGAACCTGCCTTGCAAGCAGGCGACTGTGAGTTTGATCCCCAGTACCGATTAAAAAAAAAGCAGTTTATAGTACCTATCACTGCCTATTGTTTTAAAGAGTCCAGATTCCGGGCTGGGGATTTAGCTCAGCGGCATAAGCACCTGCCTTGCAAGCAGGCAGTCGTGAGTTCGATCCCTGGTACCGATAAAAAAAAAAAAAAGAAAAGAAAAAGACAAAAAAAAAAAAAAAAAAGAGTCTATATTCCTTTTCTAGTTAGAGATTCTCCGCAACCCCTCCTCAGTCTACCTATCCAGTGCCATAACCACCACATCTTCAAACTACCTTGATGCCACATGAACAAACATTACCTCTATAGACAATATGTCCTGTCCCATCAGAAAAAAAAAATCACTCACTCTGTGCTACTACTAACACCCTGTGCTATTCCTTATATGTACATCTATTGTGAGAGTTACGGTACTAAGTACCGTATAACTATGTTAAGTTTTTCTGTATCATCACCTTCCTAGACTATTGATCAACTTGAAGGCCAAGATTAAACCTCTCTTCATGTCCCTCTCTCCCATCATTTGTGTAGCACAGTATCTAGGATACAGTACAGTCAGTAAATGTGTACTGTATAAAGAAGTGGTGGCAGCCATACCATCTGCAGAAAAATAGTAAAATATAGGTCCTACTAATAGTTCAATATCCTCATCTTCCTACACAAGTAAAAGAATAGAAGGTATTCCAACTAAGAAAAGCAAAAGGTAAGGCTACAAGTACAAGCTCGGTAGGAGAGCACTTACCTAGCATACATGGGGCTCTGGATTCAATCCCTGACACTACTAAATAAATAAATATCCTAAAAGTAAAACCAACACAAATTCAAGACCTGCTTGTGTTAAGATTTAAAAAATCCCAAATCTTATATATAAGACATGTTGTTCAATTAACAATGCATAAGCTTTTTATATAATGCAAAAGCCACAATTAGATCAAGTACTGTGAGGATAGGACTTTGTTGTCCTATTTCTCCTCTCTAGTAGCTCAATTTCTCCTCTCTAGTAGCTCACATCTGATGGCACTTGAAAGGCAAAGGAAACTATCTGGGCACGAACTAGCAAGAGTCTAAATTAGAGGGCCACAGCAGAAACAGAAGGAGTAATACTTAGCCTCAGTTGGACAGACATTATGTAACATCTATAAAAGTAGATTCTTTTTAGCGTTTTTTTTTACTCTTTTCTTTTTGGTACCAGAAACCGAACTCAGGGCCTCGCACTCGCCAGGCAGGCACTGCACCGCTGAACTACATACCTGGGCCCAAAAGTATATCTTGAGAACTAGGATGTAGCCCGGGGGCACAAGTACCTTTCTGGCAAACACAAGTTCCTGAATTCAACTCTTACTACCAAAAAAGTAGAATCTTGATCTTTTAAAGCAGCATTGTTAAGAGACAGGTTGAACTGGGTTGGCAGAGGAATCACTGAATATGGGCTGGCAAAGTGTATTTTCCTTTTCTTGATTCCAAATAAGCCTCTGAGAAAGGCTTATGTGGCTGAAACACACACACACATACATGGATGTCTGGGATTTGGAGCATTCCTAAATTTACCATCTGTGTTTTCACCTTTGCCCTCCTCTGTTACACAGCATGAGGTCTAGTCTGCCACTCAGCTATCCCATAGCTACTCCCTAGGCACTTAACCACCTGCAGGAAACACCAGGTACCAGCAATAATAATGTGTAATGAACAAATACAATCCCAAACCGGCACGCAGATGTACACCTGTCCCCACAGCATTTTGTGAGGCTGAAACTCAGAGATCACAAGCTTGAGGCTGCCTGCGCAACACAGTGACTCGATGTCTCAACATAAAAATAAGTGTTGGAGATGCAGCTCAGTGCGAAGGTCCTGTGTTCAATCCCCGTGCCACAAAAAAAAAAAAAAAAAAAAAAAAAAAAAAAAAATCTTTGCTTTCTTAAAGCTCACAGCATAACAGGAAGTCAGACTTTACTCAGAAATTCTCTCTTCCACAGCGCAGTGTGGTAGCTCACGCTTGTAATCCCAGCACTTGGGAGCCTGAGGTAGAAGTTCGATACATAGTGAGCTCAAGGTCAGCCTATACTACAAAGTGAGATCCTGTCTCAAAAATGAACAACAATTGGGGCTGGGGATTTAGCTCAGCGGTATAAGCGCCTGCCTTGCCCGGAACCGATAAAAAAAAAAAAAAAAAAAAAAAAAAAAAAAAGACAAAAAAAATTTAACAACAACAACAAAAAAACCCAAACAAACAAAAAAGAAATTGTCTCTTCCAAATTAGATTTGGCAAAGCACAATATAATACTATGAATAAGGGGTGGTATCAAGAACACCGGAGTTCAAAACCTGGCTCTATTCCTACCAACTGAATCACTGGAGGCAAGTTTTACTTTCTCTCTCTGCATGTCATTTTCTTACCTGTCAGTCACCTGGGAAAACAACAGTTAAAAGAATCAGTAGTGACTGATTTATACAAAACACTGCAACAATGGTAATGGCTGAGTGCTTCCAGTGTATAGCTAGCTATCCTATTATCAACCATCACATAATGCCCTCAGATACCTGCGTCCATCCTCATTACTTCCTCATTTCTTCCGACGTACCTAATGCCCAGCTCTTGGATGACAAGTGCAACTTCTGTCACTGAGAGGCCTACAACCCCGGAGGACTCAAGAGAGAGGGGAATAAAACGCCCGAGTCCTCACCAATCTCCATATTCTTCCCTCGCTTGTGAATCAAAAGGAAAAAGAACTGCCCATAACCCCACATCCTTCACGCCTCTGTCTCCAAGACCACGCCTCTGCCTCCGCTGACCACCGTAGTAGTCTTTCCTTCTAGATACTTTCTATTTGTATTTTCAAGGTTTGAGCGTAGATTTTAGTATCAGACACCTCCTCCTAGTTTCTGGCGCTGTAGTTATTTTCCGACATCTTCCACCTACAAATCCAACGTCCTCTCGCAGCCCACAGCCAAAAGACCTCCCCAGGAAAAAAACAAGTCTAGAAACCGCCTCGCGCCTAGCCAACAACAGCGGGCCAGCCAATCGCTTTGAGGAGAGGCGGGGCTTCAACCGCTCGGCTCACGCGGAGGTGAGCGTGTGAACACGCACTTTCTCCCCTCAGAGTGCGCCGGCGTCCTGGTTTCTTTCTTTGCGTGTTCAAAGTGTCAGGGGGAGAAAGTAGCAGTGGAATGCGGCCTGCGCCAAGCAGGTAAGAAGCGAAACCTCTGAGGCCTATCAGCAACGTATCTCGCACCCCTCAGCACCGCCAAGGACTAGGCGCGCAAGCGCCTACCGGGGCGGGAGGCGGGCTGAGACCATGAGTTGCTCCGAGCCCGAGAGGAAAGGGGCGTGGCGAAGGCGCGGACTTCCGGTTCCCCGGGCCGGTGAAGGCTGCTGTTGGGTGGCTTGGAGGGTCCGTATAGTTAGGTGGGCCGGGTGGTCTGGGTGGTATGATCTCTGGTTTCATAATTTTGGGGCCGTAAACCGCAGTAAAGTATGTTAAGTGCATTTCAGAGGCATACTGTTTACTCCCATTTTACAGATGACACTCAGCTTTGGAGCAAGACATTATTTGCCTAGATTCCTTGGACAAAAATCCTGCTTCAGACGCTAATCTTGTATCCTACCTATCTTTGGGTCCTTAGTCCAGGACTGAGCCTTAGTCCAGGACTACTCCCCATTACTCTTCAGGATTATTTTTCCAAAGCCAGGAAATACGGCTGTTTTTTAAAAAATTATTTTATCCGGTGCTCGCCTACTACCTCTCCCTGCACGGATAGCGTTTTCACAGTTTTGCTAGTCAGGGCTGGGGATATAGCTCAGCAGCACCGCGCCTGCCTGCCAAGTATAAAGTCTTGAGTTGGATGTTAAATGTTAAATGTTAAATGTTCCTGGTACCAAAAAAAAAAAAAAAAAAAAAAAAAAAAGCCCAAAAACCGGGTTTGGTGAGGAAGATTGTGTTTCTGACGTTGTGCTTCAGTCCGTAGACCACCTTCTCAGTAACTATAAATGTAAACACTAATAGATAGTCGCCTAAAATATTCATGCCACCAAAAGTTGGGGGGAAATCTCCAGTCGTATAAAAGGAACTTTTTTGAGGATTTGGAGTTTTACCAGTGATACAAGAGAAAGACAAGAAGAGTAGGGTGCAGGTCATGTGAGGTGAAATGAATAAGAAGCTTGGAAGTGAAAGAATTTCAAACCGAGGGATTTTCAAACTAGTTCTGGGCCCTTCCAAGAACTCTTCCTTTCTGTATTTCAACCCCTCTCCCCACTATAAGCAGAGTAAAATGGTTACATCATTGGATGTAGGAGCCATCTAAGAGGGAGACATTTTTGAAGTCTCAGAATTTATCTAAAAAGTAAGCAAAGATTTTGCATTCTGCTACAAAATGTATCCATATTTTAATATAAAGTAACAAAGTATAATAAATACACAAATGTTAAATGTCAGTAGGTTTTCACAGTTATATACTAACATTCAAAATAAAAATTACATTTTAAACTGTTTACCCATCTAGTAAAACTGACATGCCAGAAAGATGTAAAACATTATTTCTGTACTTTGAGCAGTAACAGTGCCTGCTGTCTCTAAGAAATAGACTTCAATCTTCACTGCTATATGGTCCTGTTTGTGTCGGAGCTTGCATGACAGTCTCTACCCTCATTGCATCAAAGGCCCTATACATGTCAAAATATAGTTGGTTGGAACCCCCTCAGATCTTTTAAATCAATATTTTAGGACAAGTTAGGTACTTGTGTTTTTTAAAGCTGCTACTGGATTTACCAGTCAAATCGAGGACCGCTAGTTTTGTACCCGTGCTAGGCGCATGGGTTAATAATTAAATGTTTGATTGCCTATTACCAGAATAACTCTGTTGCAATTTGAATTTACAGGTTCAAGACTGAACCTATTCACCCTTGGCAGTACACACAGTAAGTAGTCAATTCATGGGAGCATCTGTCTGATCCGGTGTTAACAGGATAGCTGACAGGCGGTGCACGCCTGTATTCCCAGCTCTCTGAGAGGCTGAAACAGGAGGATGGCAAGTTCTAGCCCACTTTGGACACGTTACTAACTTAGCAAAACTGCATCTCAAAAACTAAGAAATAAAACAAGGTCTGGTGATGCAGCTCAGTGCAAAAGCCTTGAATTCAATTCCTAGTTTTAAAAAAATCACTGATAAAACTACTCAGTATGAAGTACAATGAAAATTGGACTCTGAATTGGAATAACCCCCTGGAATTCAATTTAGGTGGTTTTATAAAGGAATAAATCCTAAACTGCTAGGTTCTGCTATTTAGCACAGAGTAAAGTTGTTAAGATTGTTCATGCTTTCACCTTTGTACCTTTTGGTTCAGGTTATGCATTCCATTGCTCACTGGCCTCTGATGCTTTAGCAGAAGTGATGTAAGTCCTATCTCTAGAGTTAACAGGACAGTGGAGCAAGCTGTTTTCAACTCAAGTGTGATTAAAGGCCCTAGCATCTATAATTTATCCAGGACCCATGTGTGGACTTTGTAAGTCTTTCTCATTTTTTATTACTTCTGTTGGCAGTAGACATGGAATTTTGTTTCTTGTTTATTTATTGGCTTTGTTTTTAAACGTATTTATTCCCCAAAGGAGTAATATATTTAACTTTTTTTGAAAGAAAAGAGCTTGGGATTTAGCTGCATGGCACAGCACCTGCGTGGCAATTACAGGGTCCTGAGTTCAATTCCCAGTACCAGAAAAAAACAGGAAAAGAAGAAAAGAAAGAAAAGACGAAAGTGTTAGAAACATGCGCTCCAAAGACCAGACACTGTCACCAGAGTCTTTAAACTGGTTCTTGGAGGGTTCTAGATTTGAGGTTATGTAAAGGAGCTCTTTGGCAGGTTTATTTCATCTAGGTGACTTAAAACAGAAACAGGCAACCAGGTGACTTAGTAAGAGCTGAAAATACCATGTTTGAAAAAAATATACTCAGAAGACTTGACACTCCTACAAACATTAAATCCTTATACCCACCAAACGGTGGTAATACATTTTAATTTCAACAACCCAACAACGATAGTTAAAATCTTTGAGACTATTTTAAAGCATAACATTATCTGAACCTGTGAGAAATAGTCTCACAAGTGTATTTTATCAAAATGTACAGTATTTGGTTATCAAATGGAGAAACGAATTAGGGTTATTTTATAGAATAGCTGATAATGAAATTGATTGAAATAAATAAAAATTGAAACTAAGTATGTGTTGAAAACAAAAAGTCACACACACCTGTAAACCAGGCATGTGGGAGGCTGAGGCAGGAGGATTGCTGGAGTTCAAGGCCAGCTTAAGTTACATAGTGAGTTCAAGGCCAGCCTGAGCTACATAACACAACTCTGTCTCAACTGCCCCCACACCAGAAATCAGTAACAAAAACAAAAAGGAAATTATCTAGAACACAATCTTTGACACACATACTTATCCCTATGCAGCAGGAAATGTCAACAGAGATAGCAGGACATAAAGTAAGTAATAAAATGGTTCTTTGACTAAAACAGATTAAAGTGATTTTGCTTGCTTCTTAAAAATTAATAGACTGCAAGTACCAAAGCTTAGAGATAGGCTTGAACCAAAACCAGCAAAAAGCCAGCTTTCTTGTGGATCCATCAGGGACAGTTTAACAATAATCCCACAATAAAAATTCGTTGTGCTATCCTATCCCAGGTACCTGCCAACCTAGAGAAAAGTTGGATTCCTGCCCAGGGCCTGCACTGGCAAGCTCTTAACCTTCAGTCTGTGTGCTGGGGCTAGCATGCTGTAGGGCTGGAGCAGGAAGCAACATGGAAAGAACACAGAATGAATGCTGTTTCCCTTTCTTAGTTTTGCTTCATTCATTATGAACTTTGGGGCCTTTGAAAGTAAATTTGGTATGGTTTGACTTAGGCAGTAAACTTCACTGACAAAGATGTTTACTTTGTTTATAATGCACAGCAAATAATGACAGCTGTATGTTGTACAGTGAGAATGTAAGAGATTCATCTCAGATGGTTTGAAAATTACAATGCAGTATTTCTCATTGTGGTGGAACTCTACACTTGGGAGAGAGCTTCGGCAGGGGCAGCTATCACATATGAAACATAACACCATATTGAAATATTTTGCTTTTATTTATTTATTTTTAAAATTTTTGTTTAGCTGTTAACATTCATTAGGGCCCCTTGCTTTAACTTTTTAAATTTTCCTTTCTTGCTTTTAGTACTTTGCTTTTTAAATTTATCTCTTTTGCCTTATTTTTAAAGAGTCATCTCTGGACAGACACTGGTTCCCAGAGTGCAGGGTTGGACTGGGGTACAGCTTGGATGGGGGGCATCTTCAGGATGAACTTTAAGTCTGTAAACTTCTCTCTTTAACCTTTGCGTTCCTGTTCAGAGGTTAGCTGTAATTTATCATTTCAGGCATTTAAGATTTATGAACTGTTTCTGAACAAGGAGGGAGCACTGATTAATACATGCGCATATTACCCCTAATTTAAGAAATACTTTACAAATGCTGGGAACCTCCTGTGGATCCCTTCCCCTTTGCCTCTCCTTCCCTATCCCATAAAGATGACAACCATCTTGGAATTGATGTTTGTAATTCCAACATTTCCCATTTTATGTGATAAACATTGTCTCAATCCATTTCCTATTGCTGTAATAGAATCCTTGAGACTGGGTCATTTGTAAAGGAAGAAATGCATTTTGCCTCATGATTCTAGTGGCCAGGGAGTCCAGGAGCATGTGCCCACATCTGCTTGACTTCTGGTGTGGGCCTCATGGCAAAGCAGCAAGCAGATGCTGAAGAAGAAAGAGAATGGAGCTGACCTCCCGACCAAGCAAAGCCATTCTGAGAGGACAGCATTAATCCACACATGAGGGTGCTGGTCCCTTACGCCCCACCTCCCTGCATCAAGGAGTTAAGCTTCCAGCCGTGCATCCTTGGGGAACACATTCCAACTGTCACAGGCAGTTAGGTCATTTTTTACATTTTCAGGATATGAACAGTGAGTATGCATGTTCTTGCATGTCTTCTTGGTTGCACATGTGTGAAAATTTATATAGATTTTATATGCTGAGATCAGTATCAGTTTTACCAAGCATTGCTACATTGATCTCCAAAGTTACTGCTTGAATTTACACATCGGTCATATGTGTAGCAGAAGTCTTTATGTCCTCAATTTAGATCTTAAAACCTGGCTCATCTGATAGATATGACATGGCTTTTCATTCCCACTTTGCTGGTTGTACTAATGAGGTCACGTGTGTACATGCACATAGATGACTTTATCTGTAAATTACTTGTTTACATTTTTTGCCCATCTCTTAATTGGAGTATTTATCTTTTTCTTATGTGTATGTTATTTATATGTTCTGAGTGCTAATTATTTGTCCTTTAACTTTTTTATAATTACTTTTGAGATGCATGTTTTCTGTAGTTGTGTGTAACAGTTCTTTTCCTTTTTTGTGTGTGTTTTTTTGTTTTGTTTTGTTTTGGGTTGGTTTGGTTTTAGAATTTTGTTTTGTGAAAACAGAGTGTCACTAAGTAGTCTAGGTTGGCCTCAAACTTGCAGCAATCCTCCTGCCACAGCCTCCTGAGTGCTAGGCTTGCAGGCATGCACCACCACACCTGGCTTTCTTTATGTTTTATACTTTTTCCACTTTGGTTAGGAAAACTCTCTTAATTTGAAGCTCTGAAGTCTTTTCCTGTATCAGAAAGTTGTTTTAGTTTTCATGTACATCTCTAGTCTACTGTTTTAAGAAAATAGAAGGGATAGAAGAATAACCTATAGGTTATAAAGACAAAAGTTATATTAATATTTTTCAATGGGCAAAACTAAACTACAGTGTGTCAGGATGCATAGTGGATGACAAAGCTATTTTTAAAAATATGAAAGTGATATCTATAAAAGTTATGGTTATGATTACTTGATCATTTATAGGGAGGGTCACATTTAACAAAACAAAAACAAAAGTCAAAAGCAGGATATCCAGACTCCTAGTTAAATTTGAATTTCAGACTTAACATTTTTTTTCAGTATAAAGATGTTCTAACATTTATCTAAAATTCACATTTAGTCCTTCCTTATTTTATCTAACAAAATCATGATTTTATTCAAGATGATAAGGTACTTTAATTACCTAACCCTCCTTGTGACTAGAAATGGTCAGATCCTCTGTCTTTGCCTCTGCAACACAAAGTCCCACACCAGCAACTTTTAAAGAAAGTGGTGTTTGTTTTGAGAGGTTTCAGAGGTTTCACTGTATGTTTGGAAGGTTTAACCACTAAAACCACATGATGGAAGGGCCTGGGCAGAGAAGAGCTGCTCCTGTCATGGTGACCAGGAAGCAGAGAAAAGGAGGAAGCAGGAGAGTACCCTTGGTGACCGGCTTCTTCCCCCCAGGCCTCACCTCCCAATGGCACATTCAGCTCCAAACCCCTGATCCAATCCCTAAAAGCCCTGCTTCTGAATGCATAAGAGGGAAATTCTTGATCCAATCCATGAAATTCTTTCCCTGACCCTCAGAAGAGTCATGTGCATCTCTCTATGTGAAAGGAATTTAGTGCATAGCTAAAAGTCACCAAAGTTTTAATAGTTCCAGCATTACTGAAAAGTTTAAATCCAAAGTCTTCTCTGAGCCTCAAGTCAAAGTCGTGTATTCCTATAAAAATCAAAAAGAAAGTTAAATATTGCTGACATACAATGACATACATTCAACAATCCCATTCCAAAAGGAAGTAGGAATAGGAAGACACAAGGTAAACCAGCAAAGCAGGCTGTCCAGCGCCAGGGGTGAGCTGTGAGTTTAGCTTGTGGTAGGCAGCTCCACCACTATGGCATTGCCAGTGGCAGGCTCCATGCCTTCTATATTGCGGGCTCTGCTCACTGCCTTGGCTTTCTTAGGCATTCTATGTTCCTGGCTTCTCTAACTCCTGGAGTCTCCATGTACTTTTGGCTTCATTCTCACGGCTTTACACACTGCTCCTTAGAGTCCCACCGCCTGACCTCCCCGGCCCTCCATGCTCTTAAAACTCTTGGTGGTCTGCATAATTATAAAACGAACACTGTCTGGATGATGCCAGGTCTGCTGCCAAGGTCAGGCAGTAGCCACCTTAGAGCTGAGATCTCTGAGTGCCTGAGTGGCTGAGCTCCAGGAAACGTTTTTAGCTGTCCCCATGGAGCTAGATTCCTTAGAACTCTCTTTTCTAAGCAGAGTCTTTCATTTTGGATCCTTGAGCCTATGGAAGGAAGCCCTAAAGGTCCTTCCTATTGTCCTGATACAAAGTGCTTGGCTTTTTTTTAATGCTAATTTTCTTAGCAAAGGCTGTTCTTGGTAAAACTTTACAGACCCCAGGTTTACAGATCCCATTTGTGTTATGTACTTTTCTAATTCCTGAACTCTTTTATCACTTATTTATATTATTATCTGATTTCCTTATGCTGCTTCCACATTTGTCTTAATTTCTTTATTTATTTACTTAATTTCTGAGCTGTGCCAGGTAACATTTCATTTCTCCTCCCCGCTCCCCACTTTCCTCCTCCTCTCACCTTCCTTCCTCCTTTTAATGCTTCCTTCTTCCTACCTTCTTTTTCCTGGTCTATTTGTGCATTTGTTTATAGAAGCAGTTACTCTATTTTATTCATGGCAGAATGTTTAGTCATGGTTTTTACGTGCTTTGTGGCCACTTCCAGTAAATAATCTTCGATTTCTTGTAGAATCTTTCAGAACTCTTGAGATTTTTATTCACGAGTTTCCAAGTGACTGGATTTTTTCTGCACCAGTTATTTGCAAGAGATTTATGTGGGAGGTGAGTGAGTCCTTCCTATGTTGACAGTTACTTTCTCTCAGTACGCTGAAGATATCACGTCACATCTGTGTTTGCTATTGAAAAGTCTACTGTGCAGATTAGTCTATCTTCAAAGATAATCTCTTTTCCCTCTGGTTGCTTTTAAGTTTTATTTTTCTTAAACTAGCAGAGTTCCAAAGTTTCATTATGGTTGTCTGGGTATAATTTTTTGTTTGTTTGCTTACCTTGAATCTATTAGGTTCTGCATTTGATTAATAAAGTTGTAAGCTATTATTCATTCAAAAATGTGTCATTTTCTGTGTTTTCTCATTCTGAAATCCCATTTAGAAATATAACAAACATCTAATATATCTTCTATGTCTCTTGTCCTCTTTCTTGTCATTTCCATGGTACATTCCAAGCATTTTTTTTTTTTTTTGTTCTACTGCCATGTCACAAAAATCATCTAATCTGGATTTGACGGTATCATTTTTAAACTCTGATTTAGATGTAACTGGGTAGTTCTATAGTTATCTTCAGTGTACTTATTTCATCATTTGCACTAGTACTCCAGTCATCTGAGGTTGCTGGGAGTCTGATTTTACTGTGTTCTTTCAACAGTCTTGCATGGTAATTTATTTCCTTGTGTGTTTTGTAATTTTGAATTGTGATCTGGTGTTTACTTGGACTCTTAATTGTGAGGCTCCTGAGTGGGCTAGATTGAAGAAAAGTTCCTTTAGAGAAGATTTGGATTGGCTTTTCTAGGACTATAAAATGTCTGAACTATGAACATCTCAAGAATCCTTTTGTACTCCTTTCTTATCTTGAGGCTACCTGAATCATGTGTGTTGTATGAGTCTGAATCCTAAGCCCATATAAAGAAAAGTCTTTGGTTATGACATTTTAGAGGGTACTTTTCCCCACTAAGAAAATTAATTTTCCAGGTCTGAAAGTTTGTTTTGCAGGCAGGCAGGCAAGTGTTCATTTGTTTTGTACAGTCTTTCAGTGAGTGAATAATTTCTTAAGATTTCTAGCTATATACACAGATTTCACTCCAATCCCAGGATTGTATCTTTGCCCTACATGGCAGTTAAAATCTAAACTCCTGGGATATCAAGAATGGGAAGTATCCTGCCGGGGGATTTAGCTCAGTGGCACAAGAACCTGCTTGCCAAGTGCAGGGTTATGAGTTTAAACCCCAGTACCCAAAATATAAATAAATAAATAAAACACATAGATAAAGGATGGGAAATATCATGCATGGTATCTCCTTACCATTCCGGTTTTTAGGACTGATTTTCCTTGTAAAAGACTTTTTTTAAAGTGAAGTTTTAGGTTCACAGTAAAATTGAGCAGAAAGTACAGAGAATAATCTTCTACACTCTGCCCTAACACATGTATAGCATCCCCATTCTCAACCTCAGAGACCAGAGTGATACATTTGGTACAACTGATTCAGCTGCTCTGATGCCTCATTCTCACCAAAGTCTGTAGTTGACATTAGGATTCACTTATAATCTATTTGCTGTTTTGATCTATTTATTGTTAACCTTTAGCATATACATCATAGATACTTTAAATTATTAGTCTGGTGATTCCAACATATCTACTATGTCTGATTTGATTCTGATACTTGCTTTATCTCTTCAAACTATGGTTTTGACTTCTTTTTCATGTTATGATATTTATACTTTTGGAAAAATCTTTCATTTTAAGTCTTGGTTGTATCCATGTATCTCGAGATGAATGCATGCCTTGTAACTTTTATGGAGAGCAAGACATAGTGTCCTGAGGAAAGGAACTGCTGCAAGCAGGCATTTAGTAATATGGTGAGACATGGTGAGGAGAGAAGCATTTTGGGTTCTGTGACTCCGTCTCAGACTCTCAGTGCATCTGTCCCCTTGGACTGTGACCTTCACACGTGTTACCTGGTGCTCCCTTCCTCTCAGGTGGGGCAGAATGGCTAGAGGGAGCGAGCAATAGGTAAGGAACACTTCCCCACTGTGGAAGGTCAGAGAGGGCTACAGCTGGGCACTGCCTTCCTCCAGGTTGGTTAGGACATAACCCCATTAAAATAGTGTCTCTTGAAGGCAGACTTGCTGGAGAACAGAATGCTCTCACTGCTCTTCCCCTCCCCTGGGGAGGGAAGCCCAGGGGATTTTTCTCCATTATGAGAAGATGGTAGATCTAGAGGTAAAACTCATGGGAGTGTGGGCATACTCATCTATGGCTGGGCCCCATGGAGTCTTTATTCTGAGACTGACCACACTGGGCCTCCAGCATTGTGCCATCTCCAGTTTCCCTAAACTACTGGTTTCTCTAAGTTTGTGTGCATGGATTTCTGCTTTGGTAAGTTGTGCTTCTCCTATGGTCACCTCTCTGTTTTCTCTAATATTGGGAGCACTGGTTTGCCCTATGGCTTTGGTTCTCTGACATATCTAAGAACTGTTCATTTTTCATGTATTCAGCTTTTTAATTGTTAGGATGGAGTAAAACTTCCAACCTCCTTGTACATACTGGACTGGATACCGGAAATCTTTTCCTGTATTTTTTTTTTCATTTTTAAAAAATAGTGTATCAGTTAAGAAAACATTTTAATTCTCCATCAAGTAATCTTCATGTTTTCATTCACAATCTTTTATCTTTTTTATAGGCACACAGCTGACAAGGTAATGGAACTGGATTTAGAAAGATTGTATTTACCATACACTTAGAGATGTTCTGTCCAGTGTTCACCAAAACATGATGTCCACCATACATCTTACCTTACCCACTGTCTTGATGGCTTTTCTCTCATTGCTTAGACAAAATACCCAACTCCCAAAATTAAGGGAGGAACGGTTTACTTAGCTTACAATTTGTGGGGGTTTCAGTCCATAATCAGCTGGCTGCCAGGCATGGTGGCATGCCTGAGGGGCAACCCTTTATGGTGGTGGAAGGTACCAAAAGTAACAAGAGCAAAAGAGGGAGCAAGCCTTTTTCCTTCCCTTCTGTTGTGTGCAGGCTACCCACCCTAGGGAGGGTATAGCACTCACACCCCAAGTCCCAGCACACAAAATGAACCACTCACAAGCTCTAGATTCAGCTGCCACTGAAAAGCACCGCCTGCTGTGATTGTATGAAGATTTTGAGGGACATCCAGATATAAACCATTCAGCCCCTGGCCCCCCCAGAAAGTCGTGCACATCCCATTATGCAAAAGTCATTTAGTGCATCTGTAGGAGTTGCCAAAGTCTTAACAGTTTCAGCATTGCTAAAAAGTCTAAGTACCAAGTCTCCTCTGAGATATAAGGCAAACTTAGCTGTGAACCCCTTGCACAAATGAAAAGACAGTTAAACATTTCCAACATTGAGTGGCACAAGAGAAACATTTACATTCCAAAAGCTACAAACAGGGATACAAAGGATTGGGACCAATGCAACTCCAAACTCCAGCAGGGCAAACATTAAATTCTGTAGTTCCATGTGGAGCATCCAGCCCAACCTTGTCCCAGATGGTGGGTAAGTCATGAGCTCCAAAGGGCTTGACTGGCTCTGCCCTTGCAGCACTTCTGGTGGTTATATCTCCCACAGTTTGTCTCTTAGGCTCACTTTGCTCCCTTCTTGCAGCTTTCCTTAAACCACCCATGTTCCTGGCTTTCCCAACTTCTGTTTCACACTCACAAACTCTGGTTTCACACTCACAGCTTCATACACAGCCCTCTCAGGGGCATACTGCTTGGCTTCCCAGGCCTTCTGAAATGAAGGAAGAAGCCTTCTTAACCTTGTAATTCTTACATTCTGCATGAGCCTAAAACTAGGACCACTTGGTTGATGTCAAGGCCTGCTGCCAGCTGAGGTAGCAGGAAGGCTTCTGTCTCTCTTGGCTGTAGAGGTCAAGTTCCTGGACCACTGAGCACCCTGAACCCAATTCTGAGTAACAAATTCTCTGTGCTGCTGCCATTCTGGAATCTGGTGCAGCCACCACCATTCTAGAACATAAATATTCTGTAGCTTTCTTCTCAGAGCAAAGTGTTTTACTTTTGTGAGTTATTTTCTTTTTTGTCTTTTTTACACAGGGTCTTACTATGCAGTTCAGAGTGGCCTTGAGCTCACTTTGTAGCCGAGGCTGATCTCAAACTTGCAACAATCCTCCTAAGCCTCTTTAGTGCTGGGCTAATGTACCACCAGGCTTGGGCTCACTTTTGCAGTTTTGAGGCTGCAAAAGGTAGAGACTTGCTGCTTCTTCTGATGCCCTCAGGCCATCTTTTGTAGTTTCCTGTTTCTTTTCCACAAGCAAGATCTCAGCTTTATTTTTACTAGGCTTTCTTTCTGGCCAAACTCACATTTTAAATCATCCTGCTGGGCTCTTCACTCTTGATTATCAACATAAATCTGGTTAAAAGCCCCCAACAATAGCCATGCCACTCCCTCAACATTTGACTGCCTTGATATTTCTTCTGCCAGTTTAATTAGTCCACTACCCTTAATCTCAGTCTCAGGCAGTCTTTGGACGTGAGCAAAATGTAGACAAACTTTCTCCCATATTGTAACACACATCATCTGGATACCAGCAGCCAATGCAGTCCTTCCCAACAGAAACCTTCCAAGCCTAGTCTTTATCAGCAGGATTTGTGTCAACCTTCTAGTCTTTTTGAGCTCTGACCAGAATCTCCCATGCAGAACAGTCTAAGGTATTCCAGCTCTACTTTTTTAGGCAACATCTCCAAACCTTTCCAAACTCTTCCTGCAAGCCATTCCCAAAGGCTCTTGAATCACATGGTGAGGTATAGTCACAGTAATGATCCCATTTCTCGTACCAAATTCTGTATTGGTTACTTTTCTCTCATTAGTGAGACAAAATACCCAAAATCCACAAGGGAGGAATGGTTTATTTAGCTCAGAGTTTGTGGAGATTTCAGTCCATAATCAGCTAGCTTCAAAGCAGGGTAGCATGGCTGAGGAACACACATTTAGGGTGGTGGAAGAAAAGCAACAAGAGTAAAAGAGGGCAGCAAGCCTCCTTTCCTCCCTTATTGTTTATGCAGGCTACCTGTCTTAGGACAGACATAACACACCCCCAAACCTAGCACTCAGAATAACCCATCACAAACTCTAGATTCAGCCACTTCCAAAAAGCCTTGTCCCCATGATCAAATGAGACTTTGGGAGGACATCCAAACCAAGCCATAGTACCCACTTTCAGGGAAGAGCACATCTTCCCTGAAAAATTTGACATGTGAGATCACTGAATTTTCTATACAGTGGCTATGTTTCTCCTGGATATGCACACTTTAGATCTTCCTTATAGAATGTTGTTTAATGACTTTGAGTTCTTTAAAAACCATTCCTTGCTGACACTCATTAAGGCTCTGATTTAGAGAATATGTTAGTAGTTTTTGGAAGTACTGAGCATTTTAGAAGAGCAGAATATATGGAAGTGCCACATATTCTTCACGCCCAGGGCTGACAGTGAGGAAACTGTTGTATGTGTACTTTCTTTACTACCTGAGCAGAATCTGTGAGCAGTAATTTAAGACTGACTTCTTGATGATTCCTTTTTTTCTTTTTTTAAAGACAGAGTCTCTATAGTCCACAGAGTGACCTGAGACTTGCTACAACTGGCCTGAAATTCTCTATTCTACTTATAACTTATAACTCAGCCACTTGGGTGCTGGGTTATAGAGGCCATCACACCTGACCTTCATAGTGCTTTTTTTTATTCTCTCAGGATTCTCCTTAACTTTCCTGTAAACCTAAGCATACACATTATTGAAAAGACATCTTTTATGTTTTTGCAGAATATAGTAAAAGGAATTATGCCATGTTGCCCCTATTTTATAGTTTTTTTTTGAACTACTGAAAACTAATAACAGTCTAGTTTGTCAGTGGTGTTCCTATCACAGCTAAAACAAACACTGTCTCCATTATTTGACTCAAGATTTTTTGCAGGAAGTTTTTCCTTCTATTTTGAGTGCCTAAATATTTTCTTTGCTGCTTCTGTTCACTAAACATGATAGAAAAACTTTGAAATCTACCTAAATTCTATCAGCTATATTAGAGAGGCACCTGGAATGATGTGCCTGGCTCATGTCTTCCCAAGATATGAGGAAGTCCACACTTTGTCCTCACTCCCGTGGCTCTCTAGGCAAGTCCCAGGACCAGGAGCATCAGCATCACTGGGAAACTGCTAAAAAAATGCACATTATCTTTCTGTGCCCCGGTGCCTAGGTGTGAAGTTCAAGCCTTCAGGTGACTTTCAAGGCACACTTAAATTTGAGAACCTTTGCTCTGATCTTATCACCCAGAATATCCCTTGAAGTACTACTTTGGATTTTCTCTTTATTTTTCTTATAGCTACATTGAAGACTCCAATAGTGGTCTTTGAAGATTTGACCAATAAATTGCCTGAGGTTTTCAACATGTGCCTCGGAAGTCTGTGCCAAAAGCCAACAGACCTAGGTTTCGGTCCCATTCTTACCATAAAAACAGAATTTTGCCACCTTTGTTCACAGCATTGTGAGGTAGGAAGTAGTGGATGGCAAAATGGTTTTACATTGCACATAAAAGACCATGTGGCATTGATACAAACTTTTGTCCTTGTAGATTCTATAACTCAATTCAGATTTTCCCAAGTAGAAGCTGTATGTCACAGTGTAGATGGGCAGCATTACATCTAGTCATCCTATAGACTGTACCACGATAAAAATTACAAAATTACAACAAATTTAGAATGTGGGAATAGGGAAGATGCAGTTGTTAATGGTATTATAATGAACAAAAATAAAATTGTTCTCGCTTAGGCAGCACATGTACTAAAAAAATTGTTTCTGATCTTTTTTTTTTCACTATAAAAAGATACAGAGTATTCACAATGAAAAGGAGAAGCAAGAGGGGGAAGACTCATGCATTAACTGTTTCAGAATCCTGATATTGTGATTTGTAACATCAAATACTCACTTGAATTAGTGAAAACCAGTTGGTCCACATGGTGGCAGTAGCAAACCTGTAGAATCAGTCTGGCCTGTAGTTTCGTTTTGTTTGCTTGCTAGAAAGGTGCTAACATTTTATCCAAATACCAAATATACTGTACCACGTATTTCAGAAGGATGTTTACAGTGCCAGGAACTGAACTCAAAGCTTCACACATGCTAGGCAAGTGCTCTATCATGAGCTACATCCCAAGCCCAGGAAGTTTCATTTAACTTAAATTGTGGAGATACTTTCCCATTTGAGGAAAGATGACATTTAAGTTAATATGTGAAGATCTTTTGATTGCTTAAGTTTAAGATAAATTATTCTAGCCAATGGAGCAGAAAATGGCCTTAATCAAAGGCATAATGCCAAATTATTTCCATATATCATCCTCTGTTTTGGAGATAACGCCTATAATTTTGAAAATGGAATCACAACTTACCAGTTTGACTTCAGAGGAGTTGGTACTTTGCTGTTCCTTGTGAGTACAACCTCAGATGTTGACATCACCATCACTTCCCAGTCACAGCGTGTACACTTTTTTTTGTCTTTTTCCTTTTTATCGGTACCGGGGATCGAACTCACGACTGCCTGCTTACAAGGCAGGCGCTTATGCCGCTGAGCTAAATCCCCAGCCCCTACAGTGTGTACACTTGATTTTTCCAACTGAGATGCCAGAAGTCTTAAATAAGCCATCCAAGCTGAAACTGCTGTGGAACCTCTTATTCCAGAGGCTGGTCACTGACAAGCTCATTCCTGGCACACTGAAATGGGAGAACCAGAAACAAGCGGCAGTTACCAGGCTTTGTAGGGAATAAAAGGTTTCTTATTTCTTTGCATTCAGATTATACAGATTAGGAAGAGATGGACATTATACAAGAATTCAGGGGGGCTGGGAATTTAGCTCAGCGGCATAAGTGCCTGCCTTGCAAGCAGGCAGTCGTGAGTTCAATCCCTGGTACCGATAAAAACAAAAAAGACAAAAAAAAAAAAAAAAAGAGAATTCAGACAAGAAAATCACAAAATTTAGGAGACTCATTTTAAAGCATCTAGAACTTTATATTATTTTAACTTGGCATTCTGCCAGCGATGCAGAGCAATATACTGCAGATTTCTTGGTGTCTTAACAGACATCTTAGGGTTTATCCTGTAAAATGTGAATTTCCTTTGCCACTTGTCTTGCCTCCCTTCCCTATCATTCACTGTTTTTCTCCCTGGCAAGAAAAGAATGACAAGACTTTTTTATTACAAAAATCAATAATAGGTCTATATATAAATTTTTAAAAGTGTATACCTGCCTCTGAAATTATCTTACTAAGAGTGATAATAATCCTTTCATTTTATTGCAAAAGTCATTGTAACAGCATAGCTAAGAAGGACAGACAGCTAATTATCAAGATGAATCATTTAGCAAAGTAAGAAAAAAATCTGGTATATAAAAATACCTAGTGATTGACATGCCACCAAATTTCCATGAAATAGATTTCTGTTTGATTTCAACTTTGGTTTCTTTTCCTCCTTGATCAAAAGAAGGTTCTTGGTCAGGGTTGGAGTTGGAATTGGTGTTCCTTATACTCAGAGATCAGTTGCTTGTTTAAAGATGCCATCCACTCCCAACATCTCTCCCACCCAGTCAGTTACTTCCTATTTCTATTTGTTGAGTTCTTCCTGTTGCCATATTGCAAGGCCTTTGGCTTTCACCCTGTATGAAATGGAGAGTCAGTAAAAGATTTGAGGGGCGCTCCATCATTGGCCAAGGCTTTCTCTGGATCTCACTGGTTGCTCAAATGAGAATGGGATTGAGGCATAGAAGAGCAATACAGGGAAGTGGTAGGAGGTCAGTGGCTGGGCTCCACTGCAATATTCATCTCTGTGATTCCATTTTACCTCCACTGTCACCCTTGTCTCCTTGGCCCCAAACCTACTGCTCCTTGCTGTTGTGGAGCCTCAAGGCATGCTCCTTGTTCCCAGCAAACTCCAGGCCCTGGTTCCCCTGTGCATATTGTCAGGAGCCAGCACCCGGTAACTGCTGGCAAGCATCTAGGGCAGTGGTGGTCAATCTTTTAGAGCTTTCAGTGATAGCAAACAGCTAGCTGCAGCAAGCATGCAATAGGTTTGCTTCAATGATCTAGGAAATACCTTGGCCCCTCCTGTGCTGCCACTTCAAAACCAGCACCCGTGCTGCAGCTGCTGCCTATGGAGTCCTTCAGAGTCCTGGCTCAGCTGTTTGGTTTCTCCTGAGACAGTATTATTTGGAACTTTGATTACGTCTCCTCATTCACCCCTATTGAGGAGAAAGACAAACTGTTGTGCCTATTTTTACTGTAATTACTCATTCTCTCCTACCTCATTAAGCTTGTGATCTTCAAGCATGAATACCTGGTTAGATCTGCATACGCCCTTATTATTAACCTACCTTCTTTGTTCATGCACAAATGATTGCCACTTACTCTCCTACAGGCTCTGCTATAAATAATACAAACTTTATTTTCTCAAAATAGAAAGGTATGAAATCTTGCTACTTGTCTTCTTGTTTTGCTGGATTATAGGTGTGGGGTCCGAGCATTTGGGGTAGGAGGACAGGTTCAGTGGTAGAGCACTTGCCTAACAAGCACAAGGTCCTGGGCTCAATCCCCAGGATCACAAAAGGAAAAAAAAAAAAAAAAAAAAAAAGAATTCTGTGCCCGAACTTGGTGGGATAGTGTTCGTGGTTCAGAAAGGTACAATATTGTAAGCCCCAGTAACTTGTGACCTGCTGCTACTTAGGAGTGACTCATACTGTAGCCTCAGTTTTTAAAACTTTTTAGGCCACTGCCATACAGTAGAGAAAGACTGTTGATATTACCTGGAAGAGGAAAGTCCTCTCCCAGGGTCAGTCCTCCCTAGCATCATTATGAAACTAGAGATGGAATGGAACTGCTCAAATCAAAAAATACATTTTTCAGACATTTTAAATTACTGTTTGTCTTTGCAGCCAAAATTCAGATTAAAAAGTTTATCAATTATGCTTTTATTTCTACTCAAAAACTCATGACTGCTCACTCAAAGGCTCGCTTGTTCTTATCATAAAACACTGTCTTCAGTGGCCCAGTTGAATGGCAACAGATCCTGGGGATGGTACGTTTCTACCCTGGGGAAAGAAGTAACACTTTGAGATGGGGCAGGGTAGGAGGGAGAGCGCTTCTCATTCTGAGATCTGATTTTGCAAGGATTCTGAATGAGCTTCCCTAGTCCTGTCTTCTTGCTGAGAGACATTGTGGTTTGTTTCTGGGACAAAAAAATAAAGAAGGAAAAGAAACCATTTGTCATCTGGGGAGTTTGTTTTGAAATGCAAGCACAGAAGTTAGGAGCTCATTTAGCCAGGTGTCATTTTCCTTTTAGTGGATGTTATCCTAATCTTTAATAAAAATTCCTAGACAGCAGGTCAGCCTCAACATGTCTGCACAGGGCAGGGAGCCTGGTCTGGCCACACCACTAGTGCCCCCTGCATGCCAGGGGAGGGGCTTCAGCTAGGAGGCCAGGCAGATTTTCAACACAGAATTGGGCCACTCACTCTAAAACACTTTTGAAATAAACATTCCTATTCTTGGGTTGTGTGGGGAGCACATTCTGTGTGTTCATTCACTACTGGTTTCAATGGTAAGAACTACAAAGTGGTTGTTGATCTTCTACAAAATTCATTTCTTTTCTAGAAAATTCCATTGTGTCATGCCAAAAGGATTTATTTCCGTACTAATATACTTTTAAGCATAAGACTTGGAATCATAAACATTCAAAAAGCAGTGCGTGGAATGAGCATTCTCAAGTTCAAGGAAGAAAACGGTGCTGAGCTTTCATCAGGAGACTTTTTGTCTGTCTGTAAAAGAGTAGATGTTGGCATTTAAGTGGAAGTCATCAGTTTCTTGACCCCAAATAAAGAGTGTTGTGCTGATGAAAAAGAGAGTTATCTTTGGTATTTGTTAATAAACAAAAACCGCAGAGAATTTTAATGCTCAGAAGCTCAGCTGTATTAGGGTCATCCTACCAATCATTCCTGGTTTAGATAGTGGACCTAAGGGTATTTGCATGTAAAGAGGGCAGGAGACAGATTGTGAAATATCAAAGAATTATGTCAAATAATCCGAATTATTCCCATTGCCTAAAACTTAAGTTCATAGCTAGAAATGCAAGTAGTAACATCTTAGTCTGGCTGAATACTGACAAAATCGTGGCAAACATTGACTCTGGTTTGGAAATGTTCTAAAACCAGACTCTTAACACAGTGAGCCATTTTAAACATAGCATGCTACATGTTTGGAGAGAAACACATACTCTTTTATTAGGAACATGAAACTCTTTGAGCTGTACTATCACTGCGGGTGAGTTTGCTGAGATTAACAAATCACAGCCACATAAGTTAAATTCTTGGCAGAATATTTTATTCAGCTGTTTTTCCCTTGCCCCATTGCATTCCAGATTTATGGTCCGCATTATGTCTGGAGCCAGCAGTAGGCTCGCCCTTTTCCTCTTTGGCTGTTGCTCACTTGCCCTGGAAGTCTACACCAAGGAACACGGTGCAGCTGACCCTCGCAGAGCTGACTACTATGTGGCTGCTGTGTACGAGCACCCGGCAGTCTTGAGTCCGAACCCTCTTGCTTTCTACAGCCGCAAGCAGGCCTTGGAACTAATGAACCAGAACTTGGACATCTACGAACAGCAAGTGATGGCTGCAGCCCAAAAGGCAAGAAACGCTTGTCTCCTAGAACAGAGCAAATTGCACTTGGACCCTTGAGCAGTGGCTAGGTAACCCCTGACCTACAGCCCCTCTGGAAAATCACCCTAGACAGCAAACCCAAGTTGACTTAGTGGGCCAAAATCTTGCTAGACATGAATCAGCAGCCACAGTGTGTAAGAGTTTGTTAGGAACAGTGAGAAAGTCTGCATCTCAGCAAGACCCCAGATGATGCTTTTGCCCTACAAGTGAGAAGCTCTGGGCAACATCACTAGGCCTCCGCTTGGCCATGAGCAGGAATCATTGTGGATTGTAAACAAGTGGATACATGGGTTCCCAGGAGTCTGCTGTAATTGGTCCAGATGGGGTGTCATGTAGACACTGGGATTTTTGCTAAGGTTCTCCGGGGGATTCTAATGTGCAGGAGTTTTAATGAACTCCCGTGTTCTGTGAGGCATTCACAGTTTAACTGAAACATTAAGTGTCTCCAAAGCTGCTGTTTGCTACCAGCTGATCATCTGGGGCTCACTTTGCCTCTGTGCCAGATTATGATCAGTCTGAGTTCTTAGCCCAGACAGAATGGACCCTAAACCAATAATTCTTTCAGCTTGGCAGCATTTTCCTTCCTGCCAGAAAATGTAGGGATGAAGGAGAGATGCCCCATGGGGCAAAGGGGTCCTCACCAGAAGTATGCAAATGTACTGCTGGGAAACTCAGAATCAAAGGGAAGTCTGGGCTTTAATCCAGTGGGGGCAACCAAATCCAGTTGCTTGAAGAAGCCCTGCTTTGCAAAATTCCGTAATGTGGGGATGCAGTGGCTCATGCTTATAATCCAGAGTTCGAGGCCAGTTTGAATTACCTAGCGAGACCCTGTCTCCAAAAAATAAATAAATGAAAGTAAACATCCTAGCTGTTGGTGAGTTTAAAGGTTAGAGCTGGCCATGACAGTCGGTCCTGCCCCAATGGCCTGTCTCTGGGCTGGGTGGTCAGGATGCAATAAAAAGACAGAGAAGCCAGAACAACATCTAGTGCTACATTATCAAATGCTGGCCTAGAATATACTGTGTGTGTGCGACTGGTGCTAGAAGGGAGCTTCTTATGGACTGCATTCCTCTCTTTTGCCCCAGCCTGACATCTGACTCCTTGAACTCCCTAAGTGGTCCAGAACTCACTATTTCATAGGTCCACTCCTCCAGCAGTGAAAACTTCTGGAAAAGCCTGCTTCTTGATGAGCAGCAGTTAGCCTCCCTGTAATTGCCACCATATTTCTGTCCTTGAGCTAAAGCCTTGAGTCCAGCAGCCCACATTCCATCCTCCGCACACGGGATGGCAGCTGCGTGGCCCGCAGTGTCCCTCGGAGGAGTCACGCCATCCGCGTCTGCTCCTTAAGAGTTGTAGTTTTCAGCCTTCCTGCCCAGACTTCCATGGCTCTGTGCAGCTCTCCCAGCACTGTCTGACCCAAGGCAGGCTGCAGGAGACTCACCTCATGTCCGGACCTTGTCTCCCAGAAGCTTTGGCAGTGAGGTCTCACTGCGGATTCATCATGCACTTGCTGTCACCTAACATTCCTGTACCCTTTTCACACCCACAGACACACTTGCTGCCATTGCACTCCTTCAGAGGTTGATTGATTTAACCTGAGAGCAATACTGCACATTGATGCTGTTAAATGTCATCATTCCATTCCATGGTACTATTTTGGGGATCTTTACTGACATCCCACATATCAGTTACCTTCACGTCATTCACACATTTGATACCTCATTTAAGCCTGTGCTGAAGTCAGTGTAAAAAAAATCTCAGCTGTGCCCCTCACACTCCTGCTGACACTGATCCTGTTGAGGGCAGGTATTCCTGGAATGGAGGTGTTTGTGGGCCACTGCTGAATCCAGCATTTGCAGTTTCACCAGCTTCGTACTTCTCCATCCTGTCCACAAGACCATCCTGACATTCAGCAAACAGCCATGCTGAAACATAGAAACTGTGACATAGAACTCCCATTTTCAGATTTTAATGACTTTCTCCTAATGGAAATATAGAGCATGTTTTTGTGGAGCCGATGCTGGCCACAAGGCATGCTTCCTTCGCTGTTAGAAGGCCAGAAGCAAGGGTGAGGTTGTTTGTTAAGTAGGTTTTAGTGCTTTCATATCTCAGCTCCCCTATGTAGGAATACATGTTAAAGCAAGTGCTTAGATAAATTTATAGTATTTGTCAAAATTACAGACTTACTATAAAGACAGAAGTTCTTGAACAAATCAATTTAAATATTTCTTTTGGTTGTGATATTCAGAGAAAGGCAGCCTACTTTCAGGATGATGAGGCTTGTCAGTTCCTTAGATTGGCGACCTTCATTCCTCAGGAGTGCTTGATCTCATTACAAAGTCCATCAGAAAATTGCTGAAGCTATTAGGACAGCTAATTCCTTATCACATCAGACCCAAAGTTCCGCTCTCACTCAGATTTGGTTCCTGGCTGATATATGCTCAGGGAATGCAACTTAATTTTCATGTTAACATGTACATAATTTTTTTTGTCTTTTTTCCTTTTTATTGGTACCTTATCATAGGGATCAAACTCACGACTGTCTGCTTGCAAGGCAGGCACTTATGCTGCTGAGCTAAATCCCCAGCCCCAACATGTACATAATTTAAATGGGATTCTTTGTGAAAAACCATTCAGTGTTCTCACATGTTGTTTTTAATAAAGGAAAATATCTGTGTAACTTTCAAAAATTAAATACATGATTCTAATGTGATTATAGAATAAACAAAGTTTGTATTTAACTCATTAGTTAATGGGGGAAACAGTAAGATGGTAAACGTGATTGGAAGGAGGATTGGAGAAATGAAAATGTGTCAGGCCGGCAAATGATAAAATACATTTTCTAATAGATACAAACTGGCTAATATTATCCAGGGGCATATAATTGTAATCTTTGTGATGATCTTTTAAGCAACAATGTCAAACAATAGTACATTTTCTAGACAATTAAAATTCTTTGGAGTACCAGTATCCCAGAATAATTTGGGAAGGCGTACATTCTTCATCTTGTATTCCTTCTGAATTCGTGATAGTTTTTCTTCATGCAGTCATTGTGAAGAATGTGGCAGAATGGCAATGTCATTCTTTGCTGGAGGGCTCCTGTATGGTGTAACCTCTCCGGAAAGCTATTTGACAATTTATATTAAGACATTAAATTTTTTCAAATTGTTTAACCCAGTAATTTCACTTGTAAGACTTTATTCTAAGGAAATAATCAGGGATTCAATGACTTTTGTACAACACTCATTCTGTAAATGTTTTGAGCATGTCTTATGCAAGTGTCACCACAATCTTCTTTTTATTACAAAAAACTGGAAATAATTCAGATGTCCAGTAATAGAGGAGAAACTATCAGGTCCTCTTAAATGTAATGTGACCATTACAAATGGTATTTTTGAAAGTTCTTCAAGGAAAAAGTCAAAGTGCAAAACCATATATTTATTATCTCAGTTATATACACATATATACAGAAAGAAAATTATTAAGATAGTAATAATTATCTTTGTATTGTAGGATTATGAATTCTTTATTTTTCTGTTTTCCAAATTTTATAGTTAATTAAAGCTTTTGTAACCAGAAAAAATAAAAACTAAAAAGAATTTACAGTGCTGTCCACAAGTAAATGCCTCAAACTGCATGCTCTTTCAGATTATCCACAACTTCTCTGCCTGCCCTCTCTGCTTTCTGCACTGGAGCTTGACATTTTAATCCACATAAATGGAGAGCAACAGAAGAATAAGGCCCTTACACCAAGCACTTACAGCTGTCACAGGGAGCCCTGGGTGTCTCTGGGTGTGGGAAAAAGATATAGAGACTCCACCAGAGTCCTAAAGGGAGCCTCCTAGTCCCCAGATGGGGAATTGAGATTTTAAAGGAATATTCATTTCTGTGCTGAAATGCACACATGTGACTCTTACCTACTGGCCCCATGGGTTCCAACTCTGGCTGCACATCAGAATCACCTAGGGAACTATTAACTGTTGCCTGGACCCCACCCAAAATCAATTGAATCAGACTTTTAGGGGTGGGCCTGGCCTCAATGCAATTTCAGAAGTTCCAAAACTTATTTAGATGCAGAATAGCTGAGAACCAATGGACTAGAAATAGTCAAAGCCCTTTATGATGAGCTCCATGTTTCATTGCACTGGCGACTCAAACCCTTATGTCTGCTTGGTAAACTCCTGCAACCTTAAGCGTTTACTCCTTTCCTCCTTCTTTGACACACTCTCAAGGACAAGTAGTGGTTCTTCTTACAAAAAGCAAGACAGCTTCCCCTAAGCTAAGATCCATGGTGAGAGCTGAGTCACCGTCTTGGTATCTCTGGCTCCTGGTACAGAGTAACTTTTTGGTGATTGTCCAATGAACTAATGAATAGAATGGCGCTTCCCATGATCTGATAACAGACTGTACTTTGATGTTTTGATTTACAGGGTGTACAGATTATAGTGTTTCCAGAAGATGGCATTCATGGGTTCAACTTTACAAGAACATCCATTTACCCATTTTTGGACTTTATACCATCTCCCCAGCTCATTAGATGGAACCCATGCCTGGAGCCTCACCGTTTCAGTGATACAGAGGTATGTGACAATTCAGCCTTCCTCTCCTGTAGTCCAGGGGTGTGCAGAGATGAACAAACCAGAGACCAGAATGACAACATTCTGAGGTTGAAAGGAGATCCTAGAATCTTAAAAAGTCAAACTCAGCATACCATAAATCCATTCAGTTAGTGTCTAGTATGGTATTACAAGCCATTTACTCGTCTGTGGATCTTTCCATGTATTAATTACACAAATATATAAACTTGTTAAACAAATCAAACAAGTTTTTAGAAAATAAAAGTTTACCTTCACTACAACCCATCCCTTATCCCACTTCCTTTCCTAGAGAAAATTCCAACTTCCACCACCAACTTGCTATGCATCTATCCACATCCTTCTCTGTGCATTTCCTATTACATTATTAACATGCTGTATGTTTACTCTTTTTTCAACTCCTGTTGTTATGAGCAATGTTTCAGTGAATATCCTTGTACATATATATCTGTAAACATCCAAGATTTTACAAATGGAACTTTTCAAAGGCCATGCACATTTTAAATTATTTTGAAGAATACCAAACTTCTCCTTTAAAAGATTCTTATATCACTTTATATCCCCAGTAATAGTCTGTGAGTGCCTGTTTTCCTACTCTCTGATCCATGCTGGATAGAATAATCTTTTGAAATTTTGCCGATCTAACAAAGGTGAAAAGTGATACCTAATTACTATTTTAATTTGCATTTCTTCATTACTAATTAGGTGGAGCATCTTTTCTGAAATTTCTATTGTATTTGTTCTTCCCCAAATCCCTTGTTTATAGCCTTAGCATGTTTTTGGTATTTTTTTTTCTATTGGCTTATGATAGCCATTTATATATATATTATTGGCACACTACAGAAACTTTTCTATTAACAAACGAGACTAAAGGCAGGATTTTAAAAAATCCATGTATTTTATACTTTTGTTTTTATAGGTCCTCCAGCGCCTGAGTTGTATGGCCCTCAAGGGGGAGATGTTCTTGGTGGCCAATCTTGGGACAAAACAGCCTTGTCTTAGCAGTGATCCAGGCTGCCCAGCTGACGGGAGATACCAGTTTAACACTAATGTTGTGTTCAGCAGCAATGGAACCTTTGTTGACCGCTACCGTAAACATAACCTCTACTTTGAGGCAGCTTTTGATACTCCTTTTAAAGTGGACCACATCACCTTCGACACCCCCTTTGCTGGCAAGTTTGGCATATTCACTTGCTTCGACATACTGTTCTTTGATCCTATTGTCAGACTGCTCAGAGACTCTGATGTGAAGCATGTTGTGTACCCCACAGCTTGGATGAATCAGCTCCCACTTTTGGCAGCTGTTGAGATTCAGAAAGCTTTTGCCATTGCCTTCGGTGTCAATGTGCTGGCAGCTAACATCCACCACCCTTCTCTAGGGATGACAGGGAGCGGCATCCATACCCCCACGAAGTCCTTTTGGTATCATGACATGGAAAATCCCAGAGGTCACCTTATAATTGCCCAGGTACCCAAAAACCCACAGGGTCTTACTGGTACAGAGAATGCTGTAGGTAAAATGGATCCATCCCATACTAAGTTTTTAGAACTTTTGTCAGGTAGTCCACATTGTGAGAAAGATGCCCAGGAGGTCCATTGTGATGAGGATGCCAAATGGAACTTGAACACACCTCCTGTGTTTTATTCTGAAATGATGTATGATAATTTCACCCTGGTCCCTGCCTGGGAAAAGGAAGGCTATCTCCAAGTCTGTTCAAATAGTCTCTGCTGTTATTTACTCTACAAGAGGCCTGCTCTGTCCAAAGAGCTGTATGCCCTAGGGGTCTTCGATGGCCTGCACACCGTGCATGGCACCTACTACATTCAAGTTTGTGCCCTGGTCAAGTGTGGTGGTCTTGGTTTCCACACCTGTGGGCAAGAGATCACTGTGGCCTCGGGGATATTTGAGTTTCATCTGTGGGGCAACTTCAGCACTTCCTACATCTTTCCGTTGTTTCTGACCTCGGGAATGCGCCTGGAAACCCCTGACCAGCTTGGCTGGGAAAATGACTACTATTTCTTGAGGAAGAGAGGACTGTCCTCTGGTCTGGTGACAGCAGCTCTCTATGGGAGGTTGTATGAGAGAAACTAGGGGAAGTGTGTGGTCTTTGGGTGGACATCCTTACACCTCCACACATCACAGATTGCGAGCACTGGGACACTTCTGCCAGAGTGCGGAAGCCCACTTTTGTGCCACCAGGTCCCACTGGAAACTGTAGGAGGAAGCGGGAGAGGCAGATCCTCCTCTTCCTTCTCCTCCTCCTTTTTTTCTTTCACTTCTTGAGACAGGGTCTCATGAGGTTGGCCTTGAACTCACTGTGAAGCCCAAGAGGCTAGCCTTGAACTCACCACAGTCCTTCTGTCTCAGCCTCCCACATGCTGAGATTGCAGGCATGCAGCATCATGCCCAGCCTACCTCTTCCTTCTAAAAGTGAATGATCAAGATATTTTCTGGTGTTTTCTACTCACATTGGTCTTCTAAACCACATCTCCCTCTAGTGAATTTGTAAGTTTTAAGAGCCGAAACAAAAATAAATGTCAGTTAATGTTTTTACACATTCACAAGCAGTGGTTTGGTTTGTTTGCTGTTGATCAAGTGACACCAAGGGTACATAAATATTTACAAGCCTTAGACATTTTCTAAGGCAAGAAATGAGTTCCTAAAGCCAAGCTGTGTGAGGAAGGACTGCGATGAGGCCTCCACCCATTCTGCTCAGCTGGAACTCTGGGTACAATGACACAGCCAGAGCCACCAGCAACACAAGAAGCAAAGGCCTGGCAACAGTCTTTGAAAACAGAAAAAGGTTTGTCTCGCATCTGCCTCCTTGTCAGGCAACAGAATGTGTAGGGAGGACTAGAAATAACTAGAGAGAGCGAGGGGAGTGGCAGGTGGGGACTGGAAAGTGCTGGAGAGGGGCAGCTAGGAAGGAGTGAGTAATAGAATTCTTTTTACACTACGAGTCTGGTCCAGGGATTCCAGGGACCTTAGTAAACTGTTAGCTCTGGCCGAGTTGTTTAACCACACAGGATGAAGAGATGCTGGTAAACACAGTGCGGCAGCCGAGGGTCTCTTCCTGGTGGTGAGGTGAAGTGTTCCCATCCAAAAGGGACAGGTGGCAGGGGCCAGCACTGAGGGTGTGCACCACGGCCCAGCAATGTTTTGAGAGGGGCCACAGATGTACAGGGCAGGGGTTCTCACAGTATTAGCTCTGGATAAAAAATTATAATTCAGCATGGTGAAGACATTTTTAGGCCATGAATAGTTTGTATCCAACATTTCAAAGCCATTTAAAAAGATTTTAATAGTTCCTAGTAACTATTTCAGTAATTTTTAAGGATAGAATGAATAGTCTTTCTTAAGTGTAGTGTTGCAGATGTATAATTTGAACTTTTTAAATCAGTTTTTTAACTGCCTATCAGACCAATTATTTAAATACAGGATGATCAAAGATTGCATATATTTCATTAATTTTACAACTTTGAAATATAAAATGACAGTTTTATCAAATTTACTCAATAATTTTTCTGTGTACAGTGTATGTTAAAACATTTAACACCTGCCTGAGCAAGGCCTGGAATAGCCAGTGCATAAACAGACTCACTGCCCAAGTGACACCCATGCTGGAGATAAACTATTAAGTGGTTAGACACAGTATATGCTAAAAAATTGTAGAGACTGTATGAAGTGACAAACTTCTCATAAGAAAACAATATTCAGAGGGAAGGGGAACAAAGGAGGGGGAGGGGAAAGGAAAGAAAAGTAAAAGAAAAACAAAAGAAAAATGAAAAAGTAAATGGGGAGGGGAGGAGGGGTCGAAGGGAGGGTAAGAGGAAAAAGAAGAATCAAGTTGTATCATGTACAGGTACAAATTTTCTATGATGAATGTGATCATTATGTATATCTAAAATGTACCAATAAAATCTGACTGAAGAAGAAAAAAATTTTGAAAATAAAGAAAAGAAAGTGAATTCTCCCCACTCCCTGGCAGTACAGCTTCCAGACCCTGTCCTGGCTTTTTGGAGGACAGCCACAAGAGGGTGACCTCTGGATTCAGACAGATAGGGATTGCACCCGTGACCTCTCTGGGGAGCCCCGTTAATGTGTTTAAGCCTTCTTGTGTCCTGTTTTCTCATTTGTGGAATGCATGTGAAATATGCCAAGTGGCAAAGAGCAAATCCTGTACCGGCCCCTTCTGACTCACTGTTCCCTTGAAGAGGCCTGGAATGAGTCAAGTCTTCAGGAAATGAGTGGGCTAGAATTTCCGAAGGAGCCTTGGGATCCCCACGCCCTGGGAAGTGCCCCTGGAACGGGAGCAGGACCTCTCCCACTGGGTGCATTCCCTGCCTGCCCTCCCAGGGCAGGCCTTGCTAGGTGCAGCGACTAGCAGCTGGATGTGGCTCCAGATGCAGCTGTCTGCAGCCCATTCGGCTTTCCTGCCTCAATTCCCAGGGAGACGAAAAGTGTCTTTAAAATGTATATTGTTGCCCTATACCAAGATGATTCAAATCATTCTGAGACCCAGCCAGAAAGGCCGGCCCTAAACACAAACTTGGTAGCCCTGCTTCACCCAATAAGCAACTAATAAGCATCTGCTAGATCCACATTCAGCTCTTCTAAGCAAACACACATTTTCCCTGAGTTAACCTCTGCCTAAAAATTTAGAATTGCTCATGGAGCAAAATAAGAGGAAAAGCACATAATAATGGTAGAACTAAGTGATTTTTATAATTAAAAGAAGTAGCTGCCAGACAGAATAAAGCAGAGAACGGGGGATGTGAATAAAATAAAACATCTGCAGAGAAAGTGCACTGATGACTAATGGTGGTGATGTGCTTTTGTCAAGTGTGATCCTGACATTCAGGAAGTAAATGGCAATGTTAACTGGAATGCAGGGGCAGGAAATCAAGTCATGCTTCTTTGTTCGGGTCAGACTTGAGGAAAGTAGTTTTGTGTGTGTAGTTTCTTATGTACGTGTAGCTGTGCCTGGCTGTGGCTTTTCTCCAAGGGAAGTGAGAGGCATAAGGAGCGGTACTCATACTGAATTCAAGGGATCTGTTTCCATACAAGGTATGGAGACTGCCCTGTCCCGGTCCCACCACCTCTCCAAAGGGGAGGCCAGACCATGGCTTCTTACCCACTTGACATGTTTCACTCGCACTCCACAAATGGGAAAACAGGGCACAAGAAGGTTTAAACACATTACCGGGGCTCCCCAGAGAGGTCACAGATGCAATCCCTGTCTGTCTGAATCCAGAGGTCACCCTCTTGTGGCTGTCCTCCAAAAAGCCAGGACAGGTCTGGAAGCTGTACTGCCAGGGAGTGGGGAGAGAAGTTCACTTTTCTTTTTAAACAGTTTTCTTTCTTTCTTTTGTTCCTTTTTCTTTCTTTCTTTCCTTCCTTCCTTCCTTCCTTCCTTCCTTCCTTCCTTCCTTCCTTCCTTCCTTTTTCTTCACTTGGGGAAACCTGCTGGCCTCCCCTCACCCACAGGTGTCCATACCCTTGGTCATAGCACACTGGGAGGGACCAAGCACCTGACCCATGACCAGCCAAGCAGAGGGATGGTTAGCAATCTGTGAAGTGGCCTGGAGTGGTGGCTCTGCCCAGAGCTGGGTGCTTCACAGTGAAATTGAGAATTACTCAAATTACTGCAGAATGAACAAATGATTCAACAAAGGAGACGTACATATGGCAAAATAGAAATAAAGTGACAACTGTCTAAACTGATATATGAAGCATGACTGGAAACTACAGTGAAGGTTTAAAAAGAATTATTACAGCAAAAGACACATTGCCCTTAGTCACTTTCGCAATCTTCCCTCTTGCTTTGAACAAACTTACCCCATTTTTTGTCACTTTCTGAAGCAGTTCTGCTAGTCTGTTTTATGTCTTTAGGTGCACTGCCATGGCTACCTTGATGTCTGGAATCAACTCAAAATATTTACCTTTCAGCTGGGAATAGAGCTCAGTGGCATAAATGTCTGCTTGGCAAACTCAAGGTCCTGAGTTTGATTTCTGACACCCCCCCCCCCCAATATTTACCTTTTGTGGTCATTTTGACTTCCAGTGCCTAAGGAGGATGAGGTCACACTGGAATGTTTTTAGAAGCCTGCCTGTTCACTGAATGGCATGCAGTAATGATAGTCACCATATTTTTTAAAATAGCTCATAAAGATGTACAAGAAGTCTTCTGGAACTGCTTCAGAAACTGGTAAGAATGATGGGATAGTTGTGTTTGAAGATGTAGGAGATGGGGATTTTGAGAGAGATTCTTGGTAATTATCTTTTACTGTAATGCGTTTTTAAAATTTCAACATATTGTACCAGAAGACCCAGACTTAGACAAATGCTGCTGTGTAAGGAGCTGTGCAGGGAGGGCCGCCTGGGGACACTGTGCCACTTTGCAACCAGAGGAGGGCCTGCAGCCGCCTCGGATGGCTTCCACTGCCAGGCTTCCCTTCGCGTGTTAGGTATCCAACCCCACAAATTACCCCCAAACAAGAAGTTCTCTGGAGTTTGTCACATGAATACAGAGTCTGTTGCCCTAGAGTCCTGATGAGTCATCTGAAGATACCACTGCCAGCTTTCTCATTTACATCCCAGGCAGTGTGGATGGCCAGAAGTTTACATTTTCTCTTGTGGAATTTTGCTTGTGGAATTGGGAAGAACTCTAGGAATCTAAGAGTGATTCCTGAATAATCAAAGAATGTTAAAGCTATCTGCAGTGTGATTTCAAGATAAGATATGGGAGGGGCTGAAATTCTTTAAAAATCATTGGTCCAGCCAGATGGATATCTTCGCAACTTTCAGAAATCAGTTGTGAAAAATAAGCATTGGCTCTTTACTAAATCTAAAATACTGTGCTACAAATTGTGGCGTGTGCAAAGTCACATAAGAAAAGATCATTACCTTTCCTGAGAATTTATTATCTAATGTTCATATGAATATGGGATTTAAGTGTGCGCATGTGAGCGCATGCGCACACACACACACACACCAAACTGGTAAAGGGCATTGCTGCAGATTTCTGTTTTCTCTGCGTGGCTGAATCAGTATTTCCAGCCCTGTTTACTGGAACTTTGCCAGTCCTGATCAAGATGCAATCTGTGCTCCTTCCTTGACCCTGGGCTGGATTTTGTGATGATTCAGAACCAGGTGCTGCAGAAGTGATGCAGTGTGACTCCCACAGCAGGGACATGAACAAGGACACCACTTTATCTCTTGCACTTGAAATGCAAACAACATACCCTGGGCAGATGTGGGCTACCTGGGAAGCTCCGATGGGGAGAAGTCAGCCCGACCACAGCTTGGTCAGCTGGCCGCAAAGCTAGCTTGTCAGGCCTCCACGTGGCCTTTGGAAACAGCCCCCACCTCAGGGGACCCCATCTGAAGGCGAGGGGCAGACAAGCCTTCCCCACTTGCACTGCCTGAATTGCCGATTTGTCAGCAGAGTGAGTCACTGCTGTTTTAAGCCACTGGGTGTCTTGATGGTTTGTTATACAGCAATTAACACCCAGAATTGGTGACAGTCAAACACACATTTTCAGCCCATTTGAAGAACTCAAAG